AATGTAAATCAGCCCCTATAAATGGCTATAACATATACAACTGTACCTGATTTTAATCAGTGAAATATTTTACCCTATTTAATTCTGCATGCTTTAACTATACTACATATAAATCTAAAACTATAAGCTTAAAATTTTATATCTGGGAAAAAAGTCAAAAGGAGATACTACAAATTACAGGAACATATGAGAATGACTTTCAAGCAATCCATACTCATAAAGTTCATACAAAGAGCAATCTAAAAGTAATCCATATCGGAGTGTGCAATCCTGAAAAGCTTTTAATCAGGAAGAACAGAGTATGTTATATTGAAATTACACCACAAAACATACAGTGAGCTGTGCCTCCTCAGACAGGGAATTTGACAAGCACATAGCAGCACTCAGGAGCACTGCTGACCTGGAAGTCCTTTCTTCCACCACAGAGATACTTGATAACTTCCTATGATAAAGAAAAAAGTCTTAGAGTTTTTAGGATCAAAGTTTAGCTTATGGGCATTACTGTATCTCACAGAATGAGAAGAATATCATCTTCTGAAGCACAAACAGCACCTCCTTGAGCACTCTAGGATTTGAGGAGAGCACTCTGAATCTACCCAACAATACAAGAGACTCATGGTTACAAGCATGTGAAGGACCATATTGGCAGAGTCCCAAGACCTATCATCACTCCCCCGCTGCTGAGGCCACTGCTTGTGGCAGGTGAGCAAACAGAGGAGCACGGTCCTTCCACTAGGAAGGAAAACTCAAAAGTGGACTATAGCTGGAATAAACAGTAGCATTGAGGTAAGGAATACCTCTGCAGCTGGGGAACAAGATGTGCACTGTCGCCCTGAAAACTCAGTTTTCTGAGCTTGCTGACATAGTTTTCCGAAGACATTCCCAGGACAGTAACTATAAACATAGATATGTATACATTCTTTCTGATACACGTCTTGTGATGGACATCTCTCATGTGTGGTTGGGAAGGTGTTATCCTGACTATCCAATCCCTGGCCATAGTCAGAAACCTATAAATTCTGAGAGAAGAAATAAAGTTCTCTCTTCCTTTCACCACAACTTAAGCTGTGTTCGTGTGACCTATTTCGTGTCCCGTGGCAACAGTGCACCAAGCAGCCTGATACACAGAGGCAGAGTGCATCGGGAGCTTTGAAAGACCGGAAACTTGCTAACCTAGCCTAACTTCACTGAGAATGCAAGAGTAAACTAATTCACAGCAAAAGCTGGCACCACGTGATGAGCTGCTGTATCTACAGCTGAGGATTGAGCTCCTAAATGAAATGCCTTCTCTTGAGTGAAGAGATCACTGCTTCTTTGCAGATGCAGGATAGCCAAGTAGTAAAACTATCACTGCTACAAGTAGGACCTTTCGCACCTTGTGAGTTCTCCCATTCCCTAACAACCACGATATCATCCAGAAGTGTGAATGCCTCTCCACATTACACAGCAGGACCTCCAGCATGAGACTGAACCACGCTGGCCGGGCCAACCCCAGCCCTAGCCACTGGAACACTTTACTTTGCACTTGATTCACAGTTGCATGGACAACTCTCTCTTTCCATAGGAGACTGGTTAGTTGGTTAGTTAGGCTGGTTTCTTGCTTGTACACAGTGACAGTTCCTTTCAAGCCTAATATCCACAGCTTCAATTACTTGGTGAAGTAGTTGTGTGTAACCCGAACGTTATACAGGAGTCAAAAAAGAAAAGAGGGGGTGAAGAAACAGAGAGAAGACGATCTGTTTTCACAAAAAAGCAAACCTAGATGCCAATTCAAAGCAGCTTGGCATATCCCAGAGGATCTCCACCTCCCTGTCAGAGCCCATGTCTGGCAGACGTCGGCAGCGCCAGTGCCCACGGGACAGGGCCCACACGCCCCTGAGACGCGGCACCCGTGCGCACCCCGGCAGCGCACCGGGGGGCC